TTCGATCTAAAATGCTATTCTGTGGCCTTCATTACTAAGACATCTTCGAGGGTAAAACAAAGTCAAGGATTAGGGTGGAGACTGGGTGGAGATGTAAAGTATAAAGTAAGGTTTTGGGCTAGGGTGGAGTTATTCATTTGAAAGTCAATTACAAAGAGGTACAGTTAAGGTTCCTCAAAAGCTGAATAGAGGATTTGGGTGAGGTTCCTTATTTGAACTTTAGACAACAGAAAACTTAAATAGTGCTTTAGAAACTGAAAAGAAGGCTTATGTGAGATAGTAGAGAGATGGGATTTGGATTATCGTCTGGTAGGGGCAGTAAAAGAATTCTGATTATTCTAGTACTGCCTTGTCTTATATTAATTTTGTTATAATTGTTTTTATTAATTTTCCAGTTGTAATATTTTTTATTTTTAAGAGAACTTTTCCATCCTAGGGCAATGCTTGCCTGCCTGAGCCAGGCAGCACCTTAAGTCAGTCCAATAGGAAACTGATGGTTGCTTGCAATATTTTGATCATACAAAAAAGGGGGGTCATAAAATGAGCTGATTTTTCAGAGTATTTCCCCTCCGTCTGGAATTTGTCCATTAACAGAAGTTGCATATAGCTCATATCAGTGTCTATGTAAGAAAAGGAAGCGACAACAGAAGCATGTGGATAAAAGAAAAGGCCATGTGAGGATACTGAGAGAAGGTAGTCAAAGGCAAGCTGAAGAGGGAATACTCACCAGAAACCAGCTCTGCCAGCACTTTGATCTTGAACTTCTAGCCTCTAGAATTGCTAGAAAACAAATTTCTAATGTTTAAGCCACCCAGTCTGTGGTATGCTGTTATGGCAGTACAAATTGACTAATATATTAACCAAATAAATAAATGATGACTATAAAGAATCAGATGCCAAATAGCAAATTTAAACTAAAAGTCTATCTTTCCAAAGGATTGGCCTCTTCTATTTACTAGTCAGCACTTTTTTTATATAAGCAAAACTTCCAAATGCATTTGGAAGACTATTTGATGATAGTGATTTCTGAGCAAGAGAGTTAATTAGTTGATACAAAGACTGTTAGTACCAAGTACCAGAGCATCTTTGGGATCTGATTATTTTTCTTGTCTGGGGTCCTTCTGTTATAGGGCATCCCAAATCTGTTAGAGGACAAGGGGAGAGGGGCACCCCTGAAGCCCAAAACCTGCCTGCTCTAAGTGGGTTCTGCCATCCACCGCAACAAGACAAAAACATGTATAACTTTAATGAAAAGGGACTTTAATACAATGAATATGCAATGGAACACAAAGAATATAACTTCTAAATCAAACACCTCAGGTTACCCATCCCCTCGTGGGCAAAAGTCAACCCAGAAGGGATTGGCCCAAAGCGTGCCACAGACTAAAGTACCTTCTGGCCAGGACCCATGGAAAAGGGTCAGTAACGGCCAGACAAGTCTGGGAGGAAAAGAGCAAAATCAAAATCAATATAAACACTGCCAACGTCACCTCCCTACAGGTATCTCACCCAAGTCTGCCTTTAACCCGTCCAGGGTCAGGAAACAAGCCCGGTTTCTTCATCACATGCTTGCTGCACCATGTGGCTTCCTTAGGTCTCCGTCGTTGTTCTCCCTCCTCTTCATTCTCTTCTTCTCCCTTCTCTTCTCTCCTTTTTCTCTGCTCAGCTCCACCCTCCTTCTGGGTGGGGCAGGGAACCTGGAACTTCCCCTTTTCCTAGGGACCACCCTGTTACACTTCTTGAGTAAGTAAATGTGGGCATTTTTTCCCTTAAAGTCAGAAGTGGTGTGCAAATGCAGACCTTACTGCCTTTCTCTTTGTGTGTGTGTATGTGCGTGTGTGTGTGGTGTGTGTGTCTGGCTGATCTAGTTTTGATCCTTTTGGATGACTTATATTCTGATTCTTTCCAGGGTTGTTTTGTTCAAAGGACAGAGGTAGTGGCTGATAATTGGCAGAACATGTTTCTATAGCTATCCAGCTTATTGTCATAGAGTACACTCTTATAATTAATTGGTCAATACCTGTGGCTTATCAGTTGCAAAATGTGAATGCCAACCTATGTCTATATTTTTGACATTAAAATGTATGAAATAAGCTTGACCAGTTTAAGCAATTGAATCAACTTACCACTTAGACAAACTAGGTTATTGAGAACTATCAAGAGGACCCCCATTTTGTAAAATGACAACCTCATCAGTCTATTTTGAAGTATAAAATCCAGTCAGTAGAGCTGCTTCTTAATGGATTTACTCACATTTGCCTTAAAGGAAAATCATCATACCTAACAATCAGATTAGCTACTATGTTCTAAGCATTGGCAAAACTCTTTAAATGGATTTTCTCACTAAACATCACCATAGCTCTGTTACAAAGAATGTTCACTAATGATATTTTAGATGTACCAACTCAAGCTTAAGTAGGATAAATATCTTGTTTAACATTATCATCTTGTAAGGAGTAGAGAATCAAATTCTGAGATTAGTTAGTGTATTTAGAACAATCAAGTTACCATGGCCTACACAACCGTGTATGGTTTAATTGTGACAAATATCTCAGAACTTTTCTCACTTTTTTTCAATTTTGTTCCTAAGAAACCAACCTCCTATTCTGGATCACACCTCCTCCCTTCCCCAACTCTCCAGCAGCACAGACTGGGCCCTCTACCTAAAATAGTCTACACATGCACACAAATAAATATGTATGGCTGGTTCTTACCCATTACTGTTTTATTTAAAATTGTCTTCCCTTCCACATTCTTAACACTTTGTTATGCCATCTAATGGGGAGAAGGGACAACTTCAGTCCTATTATTGTTTTGAGTTATTTATGCTTATTTTCTGTAATCCCCACCACCCACTAAAATACAAATTCCAAGAAGGCAAGGATATGGTTTCTCTTATGCATAATGCTTAGCCAGTGTAAAGTTACAGGTCCTCTAGATATCAGACACTCAATAATTGCAAAATGCCAAAATACTATCTATTGTGACTTATAAAAGTACAATGCTTTTTGAGATAAGGCTTAGGAGACCAACATTTTGTATAGGGGAAAATCTAGGGGCCTGAGTTATCTCTGTCACTGGGCTTATCACATAGAGAGTAGTCTGAGCTATCAGTGCACACACTCACTGAGATGAATAGGGAGCTACAAATGGGTGGTAATCACTAGAACAGGAAAGGTAGCAACCCCAAATTCATTTGAGTAATAGGCTTACCAATAGTAATAATAATAATAATAGTATTAATAATAGTAAAAATAAAAATAATAATAGAAAAGACCTGTTAGTGTCATTTTCACTGCTACATTCTGCTAAGTAAAGATTGAGCATACTATAAGTTAAAAACTATTTCAGGTGATGGTGGTAATTAATAAGGTAAATACTAAAAGACTTTTGGGAAGGAGATGGGATCTGAGCCAAGCCTTGAGCAAGGGTGGAGGTGGTGGGGGGGAGACTAGACTACATAGAGTGGAAGGTATGATTAAAAGCATGGTCTCAAGAATGTTCTTAGTGTGTTCAGGGATCATAAAAGACTAGTTGGAAGAAATTGGGTCAAAACATGATGTTGAAAAGTTTTGATTTTTATCCTGAATTCAGAATGGACTCTCAGGAATTTTTGAGTGGATAAGAAATAAATTAAAATTAGTATTTTAACTGAAAGTGAGATTTGGAAAGATGAAAATGGAGGAGGAAGCCTATGTCTAGAAAAGAATAACTGACTGTACCCTAGCTGGGGCATAGTAGTCTAAGCCTCTTTCTGGTGGAGGGAACCAGGAAGAAGGCCACAAGCTGTGTGGGGTGTGAAGAAGTCGTGTCTGTTGCATCCACATCAGACTTAGATGATGTGGAGAAAATATTTATTCTCAAATTTATTAAAACTGATTGACATAGCACTTTATTAAATTCAGCTCTTCTATACCAGCAGTGCAACAGCTATGTGTTTTTGTAGATAATGAACAATATATGTATCACAAAGTTCCTTCTGAATCAGCAAAGACATTACATGTTGTTAACAGTGTTCATGGGTAATTAATCTGTGGCTAAATATAACTTACATGTGAGTTATACTGTATTCGTGTTAAACCATTTTTACCCACATGATTGATCACCACTGCACTCTGTAATAGCTGCTGAAAAAGAGGAGATTTATGGAAGCTAAATGACTTGTCCAAAGCCACTTACTTATGAGGAGAAAAACCTAGACTTGAACCTAATTCTTTTATTTCAAGCCTTTTACATCTTGATGAAAACTGGAAGCCAGTGCTTAATAGATATTAAACAGTTATAATACGCTTGATACAGCTAGACTATTTAGTGTTCCTAGAATAAATAATCTTAATGGAGTGCAGGGAGTCATTCTATTTGATACAGTAAAATGCAGTATGGCTAATATGTACTCCTTGACATTAACAATGTCATCACCATTCATTCTGAATCAACCTGTCCCTAATGGAATGTATATTATAATGTTTCTCAAATATTAAATCAAACACTTTTAAATTAAATGTTGATAATAATGTTCATATTTTGGTCTTGCCTCATTGGGCCTTAGGCTCAATGACACTTGATTATGGCTTGTGGCTTTGTCAGTATGAATGCATGGAATTTGCAGACAGCATCTATGTGCACCGTAACAGAATGATTATAGCTAATAGAGAGAGAGAGGTTGTGCAGTAAGTGTGGCATGAAACGGACTGTTTGCTTTTTTCCACAGTCTGCTGATTTGACCTACAAACCCATTCCCCAACTCCATTAGCAAAACCTATAAAAACACAAGGGCCTTTATAAAGACAACTCTGACATTTGTAACCCAGAGAGATCTTTTGAGTTGAGAGAGCCCAGTTCTATACTTATTATTTGGATCGGAGTATTTTTGGCTGAAACACTTGTTCTTGGTCAGAAAGTTAAAAACAAGGGTCTAAACACTGTTCACTTGGATAGTAAAACATATGTTCACTTTTTGCAGTGACCCTGGAAAGAGAAGGGGAATTTTTATGAATCACAAAGGAAAATAAATAACTTCACCCATGGAGGGAAAGAGACAGCTTGAGAAAAGGGACTTTGGAAAACGGCTGTCTCTAGACAGCAGTCTCGTGGTAAGTACTAAATATTCATTTACCACTCTATATGTTTTGGCATAAAATGCATTATTCTTTGACTGTTATTTCCTGAACTCTGTGCTTTTGAAACTTCTATTCCAGTTACCCCATTAGCAATATCCCCTGGGATTGTGTTTCATTTATTTTTTATAAACTCAAAAGCCAGCAAATTATTGGAATGTTTATATAGTGTCTTAATAGGCAAATGTCATAATCTGTCAACATTATATATAATTACATTAATTCCAGCTGAAGTAGACTTTAACCTATACAAAAACACTACTGTACAGCTAATGCCAAGTGCTGAACCTATATATAGATGTTCCATGACCCATTTATCTTAACTTTGGGGATATGTTGAGTAAGAATTCAATAGATCTTCAAATATTGAAGAGTGAAGAAAGTTCCTGAGACCTTTGTAGGTATGTAAATTGATTCATTTGTTCATAAGTTTTCCTTCTAAAAGTTTTAATGCTGGTGAACATCATTCTTAACCGTCTGGCTGGGTTTGCTTTAGTGTATATGAGGATTTGGTTATTCCAAGGAAAGAGATTTAGACCCTTATTTCTGAAGGCTGGCTACTTTTTCAGTCTGTGAGCTAAGATGGGTTAGTCACTTCTAGTCTGTAATTCATATGACAGAACAAGAAATCAAATCAAGCAAGACATTCTTTTCTCTTTTACTCATATACTGAAATAAAAGTTTAGCTTGGTTCCTTCTTCAGTCTACTGTATGAGGATGTGTTTTATTCATTTGTGGACTCTCAGCAACTGGTCCAGAGACTGGATCAGAGTAAGCATCCAATAAAATATTTGTTGATTTGATAATCAGTTATACTTTCCAACTCTGCTGCTGGAGACCTTGCTCTGTCATTGTATAGATTAGCTATTTATTCCTTAAGTATTTTTCACTTCATACAACTATTCATCAATGTAAGTTTCTAGAAATTGAGAAAAGGGTTGGAAATGAGCACTAAACTAATGTTTAGTCCATCTTGTGTTATTAAATTCAACTTCAGTGTCTGTGCTTTCCCCCAAATACATGTGACTTCATCTCATCTCAACTAGATTTTTCCATTTCCAGACAGAATGGGGTGAAAATGATGTTTGTGCACATTTTATATGTCTATTCTCTTTTCAATTTCTGAGAAAATTTGGAATAAAGAGATGATTTCTCAACTACTGCTTTGTAGATACAAATGCTCTTTACTTATCAATATGCCAATATCTCTTATGTGGTAGGGATAGAGATGCCCAAATAGTATGATGTAAGTAGCATGGAGAAGGTTCTGTTTACCCAAAAATATCACCCTTACTGATCGGCCCTTCAAGCTCCAAATTCTATCCAAGTTCCTAGAGATCAGTAACAACTCTACTAGAGCCAGTCTAGTAAGCTGTTGTCTTTCAAGTGCTAGCAGTAGCACTTGTTGAAAAAAGATCTTGGATCATTCCCAAATGTTGACCAGAAGAGGATTCTTTTGAAGCAATTGGTAAACCAGGATGCAGAACACTGAGTGCTGGAATGCAGAGCTGGCTTGGGGAGTGTGTGAGAGAGGAGGAAGTAGATTACCATGAATACTTTAGGGACCTAATGAAATCTTTGCCCATGTTTAAATTTTGCTTAGAGACAACCTTAAATATGAGTATAATTTAAATCCTGTCCTATTAGCAGTGCTAATTGAAAGCTGAAAGCTGAACCTACATTCCTATTAGTGTGTGGCTGTACCCTAAGTCTTGTGGGGCTGTGAATCTGTTTTTTGACTTATGGCATAAAATAATACTATGAAAATGAGAACTTGTTACTTGGCACCACCTAAGAAACTTAATCCTGTTAAATTTCTTTAAATGATGCTTAGGAGAGTTTTTATACTAGTGAAATATCTTCCTTGCTTCCTAGAGGCAGATTAAGAGTTCCATCTGCATATACATATTGGAGAGATCCTGAAAAAGAATGTGCTCTCCTGTGACTGAGTATGAACTGCCTAAATGCTGTCCAACATTTTACAGTTTAAGCCATATGACTATAATTTTGCCCTGCATATTATGCTATTTTTTCTCATATATAATGCTGATGCTGGGACAATACCAAGATTATTCTCATTGAGTTGGTTTTTGGACAGTGGGAACCATTTGAAAGTCTTTTGAGTGTGATCTGTTATAATGTCAGGAAGAGAGATAGATGGGGGGTGACATCAAAGTTGTCTCTCCTGTACAGGGCCTGAATTCAAGGCACTGCCCTAGTCTTTAACTCTATGCTGAAATCACACAAGTGACTAGGCAAGAAGCACATAGAGATGCTTTTAGATAAGAGTTGCTGGAAATACAAGGAAGGACAAAACACCTGGCATTGTATAATACTCTCCTTATTCCTAAGGCATGCTTGTTTTATGATATGGTATGGTATGGTGTGGTATGGTACTTTTTAAATCATAGAATGCTGAATTGGGAATGAATTATCCAGTCCCCTCACCACATAAAGAGTAGTCAATGCTCAGAGAGATTACATGCTTTCCCTGAGGTCTCACAACTTAGATACAAAGAACAGAGCAAGTCTCCTGCCCTTTGTCTTTCCTTATGTAATATCCCAGTAAGAGATGTCCTTTTGGAATACTGAGTGGAGGAAAGAGAAGCATATTAAGATCTTAAGTCCTGAAATTCTGCTGTAGTAATCACCATGGCCCATATTGTTGAAAGTTAGGAGACCCAAAGGTAATTTCCACTTCCAGATTTTGTAAGAAAAAAAATCCTCATAATGTACTGTAAGAATAAGGTACTATTAACTTCCTTACACCTTTTATTTTATATAACCAAGTCATGTAGAATTGAATAAAATTACAGCTCAGCTCCCTCACAACATCTTTTAAAATTTTAGACTGGAGGAACCACACAATAAAGAAATTCACAGTCCAGATACTGAAAAAAGCTCTGATTGGGGAATGTGAGCTTGTGGTCCTAACTCACAATTTTCCTTCCTGGACTTGACACTGGAGTTTGTGTGTGTTGTGTGTATGCACGGGCATGCATACATGTCCCCTGGTAATGCTGAAGCCTCTTTGATGTTGATTTTGTTTTACTTGATAAATCACCCTTTTTAAGAATAAAGTGACAGGTAAGTGAAACTGAATGAAAAATATATTTCAGCGTAGGTCGTAAAGACCTAGCAAGAAAAATAAGTACTACAAGTGTGCCTCCACCAGTGGTTGGGAATGTGCCACATAGCTGCATATTCACAGTAAGTGCAGTTCTCTCTGATAATAAAAATCACCCCAGAAATCAAGGCCTCTTCTTGACCCAAGGCTGTTCAACCCTCTCCAGGATGCTTTTTGATCAGAAACACTCAGCTTTTCACACTGTGCTTTTTGATTTGTAAGAATCATCCCCTGGGCCACTATGGATAGTTATTTGACACTTGTTACTGTGATAGTGTTTAGCTATCAGAGCTGATGAGTCAGCTGGAAGTGAATTATCTTTTTACCATCTCACATTTCAATGGCAAATATTCTCTTTTAATTTGGAGACAAACTACTTTTTGCTTTTAAGCATAGTAGAAGTAACAGTTTTCCTTGTGAATGATGAATCCCTTCATGGTATTCCCTTTATTCCCCCTATACCCATAAAAGACAAAAGTTTAACCATACTTAATCCTTAGTTCTAACAGATGTGTAATTGTGATAGATTCATAGTAGCAGGAAAGAATGCATAAGTCCTGCACATCATCTTTTAGTCTCTTGAAGGTTTGGATCCAAATCATGACAGTAATTGGGCCTTCCACAGGCACCCATTAAGTACAGTCATGTAGACATCATTTCAAACCTGCTGTGAGGATGTGCCACATACTTGCCATTTTTTTCCCTCTAGCTCCAGTCTGTCCTTCTTCTATGTTTGATTCTACATTGTGTGGTGTCAAAGGGACCTCTTTCTTCTGACAATTGGTTGAATTTGATCCATATCTAGCTGGAAACCAGAGTTGAAGAGGGAAGAGGGTCAAGATAATTGATCCCTGTTTTGTTTTTTCTGGTCATGAACAAAGGTGACTGCACTACTAATTCTAAGTAGTATTTTGTTGAACAGTTTCCTTCTTCAAGCTTTTAGCTGTAGTTAGAGCACAGATTTCAGTTTTCTGGCATCATTTCTCCTTACTCTTCAAGCTTCTTGGTACTAATGACTTATAAATGTGGTAGGTCCATCTCGTGTTTGATCATGTCATTTTTTTCCTGCTGGATACCTCTGACTGGTGCAAGGAGATACAACTTCTCAATGTGTTCATAGTTTATGTATGAAAGCTGGCCTAATAGGGTGAGTAAGTAACATGACATGCAGGAGGTAAATAGTGTGAAACTGATGTGATAAGTTGAGATCATTGTGGGAATAAGGAGGCACCAAGGGGAGCTGTCACTAGGGTTGTTTTTTTGAAGCAATGGAGAGAATTTGGTAAGTGAAGGCTAAATAGAAGAAAGAGGCAGCCCAAATAGAGTGTCTTATGCTCCTGGAGAAATACTATGCTTCTGGTGAAAACTCATTCATCGATGAATTATTTTCTTTTTTGGAAACTTCTTCCTTATATCAAATTGTGATGATTAATTTCATATGTAAATTAGAGTAGGTTAAGAATTTTCTAAAGAACTGACAAATTATTTCTGAGTATGTCTGTGAGAGTGTTTCTGGGAGAAATGAGCATTTGTCTTTGTATACTGAACAAAGGTCAATCTCTCGGTGTAAAATGATCTGTTGCGAGCCTGTAAAGAACAAGAAGGCAGAGGAAGCGTGACCTTGCTCTTTGCATAAATTGAAAGGTACATCTTCTGTCTTCAGACACTTGAACCCTAGTTCTCTGTATTTGGACTTGAAGTTGCACTTATCTCACTGGCTCCTCTACTACTCAGACCTTTGGATTTGTAATGGAACTGTACCCCTAGCTTTCTTAGGCCTCCTGTATGCAGATAGAAAACAATAGGACATTTCAATATCTATCAGTGCATGCACTGATCCCTTATAATA